TACAATAGCGACGATTATTATTTTAAAAAATTTTTGTTAGGCTTAACATCGATGAAAATTCAACGCAAAATAGGTTAATAGCGATATACTAATATACTAATTACATGGGATATAATAATATACTACACTAATAATGGATTTTTTCATATTTTTCGGTTATCCGACTTTTCAATTATCCGACCAACCCCAGTCCCCAATTGAGTCGGATAATCGAGGCTCTACTGTAATTATAGAAAATAATAATATATACACTAAAACCTCAATTTAGTGCCACTGTTTATATGTCTCTGAAATTGGCACTAAATTGAGTTTGGCATTAGGCTGAATTATTTCAAACAAAATGAATTAAGTAATATATACTATAATAATTCTATACCCAACCTTGGATATAAGAGTTTAGAAAATTGTGATGTAAAATCCTGCATTTAGTAATTTGCAGATATGGGAGAGTTTTTTGTTTATTATTTACAGGGAAGATCCATTTACAAGTATTCATTGGTGCTATTTAGCAGGGCAGTGTATTGAAGTTTGACTGTATACATGTTAAAAGTATTATTTGTTATTTTTATTAAAATTCTACATACAAGTACAACCAAAAATTTTAATTTTTGTTTTACAGAAAATATTTTTTATAGATAGATTTTTATTATATATTTTTTCATTTCTGATTATAAGATTGCACTACATGTTGGGTTTGGCTCATCTCATTCTCAGATCACAACAAAAATAAAATCATCATTGAATACTTTAAAAGTATAAGTTTTTAAGTTTTTTTGAAATATAGGTATCACTTATATAACATGGTAGATATGTTCTGAAAAAGGGCTATGTTATGCGAATCTGTGCTACACAAAACAAAGAACTAATGTAAAACATGGATTATGTTCCAGAAGTTAGCAAAAGTATACTATTTTTTTTGTTAGTAAAAGAAATATGTTTATTAAAACAATTGATATTTTAGTTAAATGAAGGCATTTTCTTTTTACAAAAGTATCATCATCATCTGAGCTTTTTTGTTAATGTTAATCAGACATATCAGCAATGTCTTAAATTTTTTTATTTTTATCATAATTTTAAATGGATTACGAAGTAAAAAATATTTTATTAATTGATAATTTGTTCTAGCAGGTCACATTTGTTCAGTCAAGTATCAAGTGATTTTTTTCTCCAGAATTTGTGCTCAAATGCCGTATTTGTAAAATCGATGAACAAAACACAGCAGTATCTTACTGTTGTGTTTCATTCATCATTTTTACGAATGATAACTTACCTACAGTTAAAAACACTTACCTAAAAATGTTTAATTAAACTTTACTAAATATTTGTTGAATCCTTCCATTTTGTAAGATATATTAAATTTTTCTGTAGAGAAACAGGGTCACTATTTATCAATTTACATTCTCAGCATAAGCATACAAGGTCTGTTCAAAAAGTATCGGACTTTTATTTTTTCCGCGGAAACCAATGATGCGCGGGAGGCCTCTTTCGGTGGAGTTGTGGAGGGGACAGCCATGTACAGCCCTGAATTTTTTCCCGGCTGCAGAAAGCGTCAGTCGTTGGCAGTCGGCCTATGAATGAGGTCATGTAGTGCGCTCTCGTCGGATTCCAATAAGTTGGAAAATGACTGAACAACGTGAGCAGCGATATTACATCAAATTTTGCCAAAAACCTTGGCGATACCCGAGCGTAAACCATTTGCAAGATTCAGCAGGATTTCGGGGACAATCCTCGAGGCCAAAAAAAGCGCGGCAGGTCCGCAGCAATATCAAGGTCATGTTGACAGTTTTCTCGACTCTCGTGGGGTGGTGTATCGTGAGTATCGCACCACAAGACCAAACCATCGCAAAGGAGTACTACCAGGAGGTCTTTCGTCATCTTTCCGATGCTGTGCGACGCAAACGACCAGATCTGTGGTCGATCAAAACTTGGCAGCTCCATCGTGATAACGCATCCGCTCATTCTGCGCATCTATTTCGGGCCTTTGTTGCCAAACACAACCCTCCTGTGGTTCGTCACGCTCCGTACTCTCCCCACATGGCTCCGTGGGACCTTTGGCTATTTCCCAAACTGAAAATGCCGCTAAGAGGAACCCGATTTTAGTCGAGAGAAGACATCGTGCGAAATGCGACGGACCGGCTGATGGTCATTCCAAAAGATGCATTCCAGAAGTGTTTCCAGCAATGGCAGGAACGCTGGGAGAAGTGTATACACTACCAAGGAGACTACTTTGAAGGGGATTAGGGTTTTATACCGCAAAATCAATAAATGTATTTTTGAGGACCAAAGGTCCGATACTCTTTGAACAGACCTTGTAAATGAGAGAAATATATCCTGAAAAAAGAAAATGTAAATAAGTGAGTAAAAGTTTATTTAGGACTGAACCCTGAGGGATACAACACAATATTCTTATTAGAAAATAGTTATTAAACTACATGATGATGACCTGATCAATCTAATACAATTTAGAATGTGTGTGCAGAAGTGGTGGGATCATAGAATAAAAAGCATGTGCCAGATCAAAATATACAATATAAGTACACTTCTTTTTCTCAAAATTCCAAAGTATTTCATTATATACAGTGGTGTAGCGTGGGTATTAGCCTCCCAGGGCGAAGGAAAATTTCGCCACCCCCTTATTTAGGTATTTCAATTTAAAAGACTAAAATTCAGTTTTGTCACAGAATAATTCCGTAATGAAAAATTCCGTGCTTATTTCAATTGGTCTGAATCATAGGTGCGACAAAAATATGAAATGAAATGGTTCAAATTTTTACAAGATATTATTATTATTTATTGTGAAATTTTGTCGTCCCCTAAAAGTGCCGCCCGGGGCGGGCTGCCCCCACTACGCTACGCCACTGATTCTATATATAGATAAGATTGGTTATAAGTTATATATCTCTAATATTACAATGCTGAAAATTACTTTTTCTACAAACAATAGTGTCATAAAAGTAATCAAATAAAATGTATTCAAAAGTCTTCAACTGGTTTAATGTGATTGGCCAGTATGAATTTCTTTCTTTTTTGTGTAGCAGTTATCAGCAAAGCTTTCTATTGATTCAAAATATAACTATAATATAGCTTAAAAAATTATGTAGCTTAAAGGATAAAATTGTTGCAGCATTGGCAGTGATATTTTAGTGAAAACTACAAGAACATTATTTGAATTATTATAATCTTATATAAACCAGAAAACAAAAAAATTAAATGAGAAAAATTTATTGAAGCAGCCTTCAAAGGTTCATAAGATTCTTGTGAGGAAATGGTTTGAAAAGAAAGATTTTAATTTATTATAGATCTTATAAATTGACTCATCATTAAATGAAATCCTGTATTATATTTATAGTTTTTTTTAGAGAAATGAGGAAGAAAACTCCAGAAAAATTTAGGGTCAGACAAAAATTACCTGCAACACTATTAATCCTTATAAATTTCACATTTAGTATGAAGCTTTTGGATTATTCTTTATGTACAAATCTCGGGTTACTAGAGCATTACCATTTATTCTATTTTATTTCATAGCTGTTTAAGAAACAGTGAAGACCATAGCTGAGAAGATTTGTCAAGTTTTTTGTAAAAAAGAATAGATTTTTTACAGGCAGAAAAAATTTTATATATCAAATTCAATTTTTGTGAAATAATTGACATTCATCAATAATGTCTTCTATATTGGAATAGAGAGAGGATTTTTAGACCTTCCCAACAGGAAATGCTGAAAGCATTAATTATATGGAATTTTAGTATGATTAGAATTAATTCCTTGTACTAGAGAAGTAGAAATTGTACAAAACACCAGACCCAAGTAAGAATTTCTTGTAGTAAAATGTACATCCTGTGTAAATTTTAAAAAAATTAAAAAATTTTGTATAAAAAAAATACCATTCAGGAGGTTCTAAATAATAATAGACAGGTTTGTGATCTAACCAGATAATAATAGGTTAAAATCAATGCAAATAATAACTTTATAATTTAAAAAGAAACACAAAATAATAAGAATTTAACTTATTAAAAATCATCTTTTTATTAGAGTGAAGAGAGTATGATATAATAACTGTAATATTAAAAATAGACAATTCTACAGCTAAAATCAAATCAAAAAATTGATGAAGAATTTTAATATCAATGAACAATTGATAAAATAAGAAAATGCATTCTCTATGCTGATCTTCATGAGATAGAGCCCAATGAAACCAGCCAGTTGCAATAATAATACAATCAATATTGATGGCATTTTCATGTTTCTGACTTGATTAGATCATTGTTCATTAAAGCTTGAAGGAAAGAACATTTGTTGTTAATTGATTGTACATTTTGCAAAAAAATTGTTAAATAAGTGAATCAGAGTTAGCCCTCAATGTAGTATTCACAGTGAGTATGCAATTAGGAGTCGTGAATACAATAGCCAAAATAATGTATTTAACAGCATTTGATGTTAGTTTATTTCTGTTGTGATCTGAAGGTGGAACGATTCTAGCTCGAAAATGTTTATCTAATAAATATTTTCTGGCTTTTTAAAACTTTTCTGCTGTTTTTGTGTATAAATACAATAGTAGAAAATTCTGAAATTTTAAAAATTTCATTTGGATAAATTTCTTTTTAGAGAAAAATGTAATAGATATATCCAGTTCAGATGAAGAAAATAAAGAAATAAAACATTTTAATAGAGGAGATGATGATGATATTGTCATGTTAAGTGATGAAGAAGGGGAAATTGAAGACCCAAACAATAGTGGCTCTCATACTGATGATTGTCTAAATCGGCCAGATGCAGAAGGAAGAGTTCTGGTAAATCTCGGTCACCCTAGTGAAGATCCTGACATATATCTTGCACCTCAGTTATCCAGGATAGTAAAACCTCATCAGGTAAAATGGCAAACTTTTAATTTAATTTAAAAAAATGCATAAAATTGGTAAGATTTAACTAAGATGGGGATTATAAAAACATTTATTTTTGTGTAATATTTTATTTTTAATTCATTTTGCATTTTCATAATAATATGACATCCTAATCAGAAGCTTTCTAGAATTTAAATTTATCACAGATTTCTCTAAGACCAATTAGCTGTTAAAATTAACATAAAATATAAAATAGAATTATAAACTACTCAAAATCATTCATTCTGTTGCTTGTAAAGAAAACTTGGTTAAATGTTCTATTATTTGTTTGCATTTTTGTAGTACAGTAGAAATTTGTTCATCTGACACCACAAGACCAGAGGGTACTGGATTATGTGTGTATTTGTATTTTCTGAAAGTTCAGCATGTTCTATGCAATCTGAACATTGCAAACATTTTGCAACATTCAGATTGTGGGCATTGCTGTACATTTTATTATATCAGTGCCCACTGCTTTATGTTTTTGATTTGTTTATGCATGCTATTTAATTAGTATGAAGATGATATAATGTATAACTATACTGCATTGAGATTGAAAAACCTATAAAATCTTTACTTAATGAACATATTTCTGCATAAAATTCTGATTTGCAGCATACTAATATACAGATTATCATCAAACAATTCTGGGTTATCAGCTGCTTTTCAGAGGATTCCAGATTAACAAATTTCTACTGTAACAAAAATTTAAGTTTAATGGCATCTTTATTTCATCTTCTTGTATTTTTCTATGAATTTTATGGCCTATTATTAAATTAGTTATAATTATTTTTTTAAATTAAAACCTCTTTTCAAGCAAACCATAATTTTTTTTATTAAATATCATATTACTACCATATTAAATACAAATATAAACTGACCTTGAATTTAAGTTGCAGTAGGAGTTTAAAATTGGAAAAAATAATAAAAAACAAAAATTATTTTATAAATATGATTTGCATCACTTGCAAGGTATCTTCCTTTTTTAGGTCCCAAGAATGATTTTCTGTTTTTTTAGCACACTCCACTATAGTAGTGAAGTGCTTATGTTAGGACTTTTGTGTGTCTGTCATACATATACATGCACGTGCTTCGTTCACTCCATTTATTGGACGTGTTCACGCACATGCACAATAGCTCTGTTCACTTTCATTATCTAAGTGTTATATTCCAGTCAATCTATTCACTGCATATATCCACACACATGCACAAAAGGGAACTGAACATTTTCGTTTATGGTCACTGTAAGCTATAGTAAAAACTACACGGTTCCTCTGGAATCTATAAACCACATTCATTACTGTATATTCAGGAAAAATTCTGAACAACAACTTGATTCCAAGAATTTATAAAATTTATTTTAAACAAAATTAATATTTGATTTGCTTTTGTGGAGCGTGCTATCAAATCTGCTTGACCAAGCTTGTTTACACTGAAATAATTTTTCCTTTGTGATTCTCCAACAATGCACATTTATTTCGTCAACCATAAATCTTTTACCAGCTGCATGATTTCCTATTTCTCCAGCACACAATATAACTTTTCTTTTGAATTCAGCATCATATGTTACCAGTTTTATTTTACCATTACCATTTTTCCATTATTAGTGAGTGTGGATAATAATAAACTTTGATTCTACATAGCTGCTATCAAATAGCAACTGGATAAAATCAGAAAAGTGCAAACAGGGAACCATCTAATAAACTGCTGTCAATGATCACAACACTATGCACATGCATAGAGCAAAAAGCAAAGAGCCAATTGTTGGGGACTGGGAGATCAACAGAAATAAGAAGTTAAAATATTTGCTTTGAATTTAAGCCACACCCTAATTTCATGTCTTAAAAAGAAATAAAAAGTGTGGCTTAAATTCAAAATAATAAGGTTTATATTCAAAATTGTATTAACTGTAGTAAGTGGGTGTTTCTGTATTTCACAATTTAGAAAACAAAAATTTAAAAGGTATTTGAATATTTCTATAAAAGAGAAAAAATAATATTTGCTAAAGTCAATTAGAATTTAATTTTTATTGTTTAGTGTAATATATAAAAGATTCAGTAATTTGTAATGAGTATTCAAAAATCACATAAGCATGTAAATGAACAAATTTAATTGTTTTCAGGTGCTTTTGCTTAAGGCATTGCAAACTTTTTCAAGAACATTTGGAATAGAACAATGTTCCATTTCATTCTCAATGTTCCTGAAGTTTACACTGTCACATGTAAAAGTACCCAAAAGCTGATTAAATCTATTCTTTCATGTGATTACTTTTTTTATGTCTGTTCACAAATTATCACATTTTTCATGTACTAATTTTGGTGTACATCTCTATTCATTTTTCATATATTAGCTCAATGTAACTCCTTTATTCCGGATATGAGCTTGATATAATTTCATATTAAGATTTGTTTTCATATTCTAACATGCTAACTCTTTTGATGATCTTGATTTAATCAAAACTAGTAATAAATTTATTACTAATTAGTAAAGCAATAAATAACTATTAACAAGAAAACTTTATTAATTATTTTTTTCCAATTTTAAATTCCAATGCATGTATTAACTGCTCTTAATACATGCATTGGAATAATAATACACAGATGTTATCAAAATATTATCTATTTTAGAAGTCTAATTTAGATTTGGGATTTTAATTCTAATACACTGACAAAAACTAAAATAAAGATTTCTGCAAATTTAATTAGAAATCATTTTTTTATAATTTAAGGCCAGTTTATAGTCCAACAGCAACATGGAATTTTAGCATTGCTAGCTGTTACTGGAATTGACAAGAATATCATTTGGTTTATATTCAAACTGTACAGTGTTGAAGTTGAATAATCTTTGGAGTTGTGTCACTAGATCAGACGGGGCACCTATAATTTGACATCTAGTGGAGCAGAAGAAATGAACATAGTGGAACTTTTCAAACTTCACTGTTACAGCACCACACTGTCTTTGGATTATAAACTGATCCTTAATTTAATGCAATAGTTCCCAAACATTTTTGATTCTAGGCACCTTTGCAGATTTTCCCAAGGTGCCCTATATCAAATTCTAACGTTATAAAAATTTTATAACATTTTGTGACACCCCTGTGAGTAAGCCGCGGCACCGTAGGGCACTACTTTCGGAACTGCTGATTTAACAAATAATCATGTACTTACAAGCAAAAAATTAATGTGAAACTTTTAGTTGAAATCAAAATTGTTAATATAACCAAAAACTCAATCTATTTACAGAATTATAAACATATTATAAAAAATTTATTTTTTTCATTGGAAAATAGTTATAATTTTTTAAAATATATTTTAGATTGGAGGAATTCGTTTTCTCTATGACAATGTTGTAGAAAATTTGAAACGATATCAAACTTCAACTGGATTTGGTTGTATTTTAGCTCATAGTATGGGATTAGGTAAAACAGTGCAAGTAAGAATATTTTTTTAGTATTATTTTTAAAATAAAACTAAATCAAATTTTATAAATTTACTAATGTGTTTATTTTTTTAGGTCATTTCATTTGTAGATATTTATTTATGCCATACTTCAGCTCGATCTGTTCTATGTATCGTACCAATTAATACCATTCAAAATTGGATGGCCGAATTTGACATGTGGTTACCGGCAAAGAGTTCTTTGACTGAAGAACAACTAAAGAAAGGAGATATTCGACCAAGAAATTTTAACATTTATTTATTGAATGAAAATTACAAAACAACATCGGCAAGGGCTAACTTAATTAGTAAGTTAAATGAATATGTTTTTTGAGTAGTTGTACAGAAGTTACAAATAAAATTCAGAAATAAAACACTGAAATAAAAAGTTTTTTACTTTTGTACATGAAGATAGTTATTAGGCTTCTATTTAACTGTTTGATGAATTAGAATAATAATTCTAATGTATTTTTTTTTATTTGAGTGTAATATTTAAAATAGGTGCTGTCAATATATCATCTGATTAGATCGGTTTGATGGGATAAAACATGGATCATATGGAAAATCTGCCACTGGAAGTGTTTCCTGGGCATTCTTTCTATGGGAAACTGGTCCCATATTTAGGTGTTAGACAAATGAAGAAAACTTCAAACAATTAACCTGTTGGCCAGGTGCAAACCTGCAATCACTACCAGTGTTTAGTGAATCTATTCGCCCACTGAAAATTAAACTAATTTTAAACTTGATAGATTTTTTTACTGTTTCTTTGATTATTATCTATTTTTTTATTCTAATTGTCATACTCTAAAATATGTGATCTACAAACATTTTGTTCTAGCTACTCTTTATGCATTTTATTTTTCTTATTAATTCTACATCAAACTGATGTAGAATTAATAGTTTGAATTGTTAGTAACTTATAAATTTTTATGTTGTTATTTTTAACTATCTGATTAGCTATTATCTCTCTGGAAAGTTTTTGAAATTCATTATTATAATTAATGGGACATATTTCAAATCGTTTTATTTGTAGTTTGGCTATTATATCCATATCATAAGCAAAGCAAGCCAGGAGTAAGTTTTTATGGAGGAGCATTGCCAGGAAGTGTACAGTACCTTATCTCATTGGAGTCTTGCATTTGTAATAAAAGCATATGTAGGATTTTCTTTGGATAATCACAAATTAAGGCTGTTGTGAAATATTAAATTTAAACAATATGAAGGAAACAACATAATAAAATGTAAACAATATTAAACAATATATTATTAAAAATAAATTCATGAAACACTTTAGATTTCAAGTGTCACCATCAGAAAAGGTTTCAAGAGTTCATAGTGGTTAAACATTCTGGTCATTCTTTTGCTCCCGAATATTTAATCCACCTTGGAAACCCTTCATCCAAACTGTTTTGTACTTCCAAAACAATGGGGAATTTCATCATGCTGAAAGATTACATTATTGTTGTGGGCCTAGCCAACACTCAGTTATCTTTCTTCCTGAATGATGGAATTTATTGTAGGTATGATAACAATATGTAACAAATGTAGATAAATGGGAACTGTAAGACTAGCTTCAATAAAACAGTCCAGTAATTCAGTTTATCAAGATTCCTACCTACACATTAATATTAACTGGATATTTGTATGCCTACTTGAATTCTCTGGGAATTTCCTTAGACCAAGAACATGCATGTGTAAAATTGTGTGGCAGAAAACTGAATCAGAAATCAGCTTTTGGTTCAGTTTCTGTTTTACGCTTTTATGCCAGAACACACATACATAAAAATTCTGGCTGAATAGGAAATGCCACAGTGCTATATTTTATTAATTTTTTTTCTCTCATATATCTATCTTTTTGTTCCTTTCATTTTTTCTCTGCTGCCACTGCTATAATTTAGAAAATTTAAATTAATAGACTTGTATTCTGAATTGAAATAAAGAACATGTGATCTAAATACTATATATCAATTCTACTAGACCTTCCTGTTATTTGAAATTTAGCACCTATAACAGTCCATAAATGTTGTTTTAATACAGTGTCTTTATACATGACACTGATGTGGTCAAATAGATACAATAGTCTTCTATTTCATTTATTTTTCATTTCTTGGAGATTGTCACAATTGTAGGGATAACAGCCATTGCCGCCAGTATTAGAATAAAAATCCCGTGTTTACTTTGACATTACAAATGAGACTTCTCTTTATTGAAGGAATTTTGGTGTAAAAATTTTACACGCATAAAGAGACATGCTCTACTCTTTTTTCAGTTATTTTTCAGCCAAAATTTCAGAAAAATTTTTACGCTTTCTGATTTATGCTAGATTTTACACCAAATTTTACACATGTGGCCTTAGATCAAATTCAGCAACTTCAATTAACATGACTATTTGGATAAAAAAAGGGAGGATAACCTTCTCAGGGAAATATATCTGGTTTAGCAAGATTTTGAATGATCTTTTTGGTAAAACTTGTACAAAACTCCACTCTTCTATCAAAATTGAGATGGTATTTTTTATATTCTATTTAAGACATAATCAGTGTTTTTTACGCTGTAACTAGAATAACCAATGTCTATTAATTGTTGTTTGATATATTGTTCTAAGTTGTAAACTATGGAAAATCTAAAATCTACTAAAGGTATGAATTTTTCTTCCTCTTTGTAGAATTTTTAATCTTATATTTAGTTTGGGAATTCTATTGTTTTTTGAAATTAAGAATGAAATTTTTATTGTTTTCACTTATATTATTANAATAATATAATTAGTTTTGTACTGTACAATGATATATAATATAGCTACACACCAACCGAATGCCGAAAATCTATCGGGCTAGTATATGGCTAATTATTAAATGAATTACGTAACCAATTTGGCTTTAGAGGTAAGCGTTAGGCACCATCTCTTATTAACATTAATAATTATAAATTAATTAATTAATTTAAATAATTTAGAACCACTGGGAGAAAAAATTGTTACGTAATTCATTTAATAATTAGCCTTATAGTAGCTCGATAGATTTTCAGCATTCGGTTGGTGTGTATGTTCATTGTAATTTATGTTTCTTGACATTTGAAAATATGAAACAGAAATATTCTTTTTATAATTAAAAACATCAAGATTTTAAAATTGACAATAATAATTACACCAATAATCTTTTTAGTGGAATGGCAGAAGATGGGAGGAGTGCTGTTAATGGGATATGAAATGTATCGAATGTTAGCACTCAAAAAGTTGTCTAAAAAAAACAATCGAAGAAAGAAACGGCAGAGAGAAGAAACTATAGTAAATGAAGTGGAAGATGATGCTCAGATTAAAAAGTTATTGGATGGTAATAATTTGTTTAAGATTTCATTTTCTTGTATTTTAAATTACTATTTGGCATGTTAAATGTTTGATTGAATTTAGTGTAATCTGGATATTCTGCAACAAAACAAATTACTTTTAAAACAATTAAAATTTGTCTTAAAAGTAAATTTTATGTCTAATAATAAATATTTGCATTTAAACAACAGTAAGACTCCATTTAATGTAGGGCATACTTTTTATTATTATTATTATGTTGGATTTAGTGGGTTATACTCGGTTCAAACTGGTGGCTGTGTACTATGCCAGACCAGAGTCAAGGCATAGCAACCAAAAAACAAAAATTAAATAAGTATGTCAGTGTCTGTATTTAGGAATTTCCTAACAATGTGGCCTTCTGTAGTGTGATATATGTATTTCTATTTAATTGTAATGTTCCCAGGCTTTTGTGTAGTGTGTGTGGTATCACACCTGTACAGGAGAGAACGACAGGTACAATAAGCATCCTATCCATCCTTCACAGATGCCTTATTTCCTGGGCGAGTTTTGTGTATTTGCTAATTTTTTCAGTGCACGTGTTTTGTACATTGTGAGTGTTTGGAATGGCTATGTCTATAATGTATGTGATTTTATTGTGTTTGTCAATGAGTGTGATGTCTGGTCTGTTGTGGTAAATTGTTTTATCTGTGATTATGGCTCTGTCGTAGTACATTTTGTGCGTGTTGTTTTCCAATACTGTCTGTGGAATATACTTGTAGTATGGTTCGTGAATGTCTACCAATTTGTGTTTCTTTGCAAGCTCTTGGTGTATTATATTTGCTACTTGATTATGTCTGTGTAAATAATCTGTCTGTGCCAATAGCTTGCAACCAGAAGTGATGTGTTGTATAGTTTCTGGCATAATGTGACATTTTCTGCATGTGTCATTTGTGAGTGTTGTATCTTTGAGTATGTGTTTTCTGTAGTTTTTAGTATTTATGACCTGATTCTGTATGGCAATCATGAATCCTTCTGTCTCCCAAAAAAGGCATCCCCAATCTAACCAGCTGTTTGATGCAGTTTTGTCAACAAAATCCTGGGCCAGGTCATATGGATGCCTGCCATGGAGTGCCTTTTGAGCCCACGATTGCTTGATGGTGTCTATGCTTTTTATATGTTGTGTCATGTCTGTGTGTTGTGAGTGTAAGTTTAATGTTGTTCTATTTAAGTCAGCTAGAGTTACTGCTTTATGTAATTGTGATGTTTCTTGTTTCCTGTAGAAAAACTCTCGCAGTGAGTGTATTTGTTTGTAGTGAAGTTATTATTATTATTATTATTATTATGACTGTTGTTCCAAAACTTGCCTTATCCATATTATAAACTTTAGATACATTCCTAGATGACAAGCACTAAACAAAACAGTATTAAACAAGATCACTTTAATACCAAGTAAATAGGGAAAGGGGAAAACGTGACCAAAAGTAAACAGATATTTCTTGATTTTAAGTTATATTATTATTCAAATTAATATAAAAATATGTTAAATAACACATAAACATATCCACATAGAAATGTAAAGTTCATTTTTTATGATGAAGGTTCTGGCTTTTCTGAAATTCTTGTTTTTTTGCGATAAAGTTGTGTAATTTCATTTGTCGCTTTTTTTCTTTCCTTAAGCAAATGTCAGTAGCAGGAGATCACATCCAAAAAGCCTTGTCTTGCTTTTGCACTTTTTTCAAAATCTGGATCATTCACTACAATTTGACCAATGATTTTGGTTATCATTACCAAACTTTTACTAAGGAAATCTATAGAGAAATTGTTTGGATTCTTCGATTTCTGAATGACTATTTTCCAGTTCTATGCAAATTCCTTGTTCTGTCAGTTCTTAAAAGTCTTCGTTGGTAATGCTCTCACCAGAAACCTGCAATAACTTCTCAATATCCTCCTCGTCTACGTCTCCTAGTCCTGCTGCATCAATTAGGTTGACAATTTTGTCAGTGATAGGCTCTTCTTGTTGAGAATTATCCAGCCATACTTAATTCCACACTTCGTTCAAGCATTGATAAGTTAATTCTTGCCAACTGAAGTCGATATTGCCTATGGCATCCATAATGTTATATTTGTTCCAAACTTGCACCAAACAAATATAGATTTAAGGAAAGTACAGCACTATAACCAATTGCCACCTTATGCTGATTGGTTCGTGTTCAGGAATAATCATATTATATACGAATCAATGAAATGCCGCAATAATTTGAATCAGCATAAATTTTGAGCTTTTTTTTAGGCTTTAAGCATACCATGTTATATCGAATCAGCATTAATCAAGGCAGTGTTAAGCAGGGTCTTACTGTATTTAAAAGTTGCTAAACTTGTGTAATTTTATTTTCATAGAAGTGTGCAATATGACATCATGATAGATGATACAAACTAATAAAAAGTTAGCTTCAATACAAATTGTTTAATGTAATGATTGTCTTCATTGTAAGATATCTATATTTGAATAATATAATTAGTTTTGTACTGTACAATATTTCTAGCAGAATTCACAAGATCATACAATAATAGATATATTTTAAATCAGTAAACATGCATAGGTTACTGTAGTAAATTATCAATTTCAGATGTTTCACAAAGATTAAGCAAAGATAGCACTAATATTCATAGTTGTGACAGGTGAATAATTATAATCAGTTGCAGAAACTTTGTCAAAAAGACTACAGTAGAGCGTCGTTTATCCGAATCAATTGGGGACTGGGGTTGTTTGAATAACTTATTTTTTGGATAACCAATTATGTACGAAAACATATATTAACCTATCCCGTGTTGAAATTTTTCTCCATTGCATGTCGCTTCGCGTTGAATTTTTGTTGATGTTAAGCCTAATGTAAACTTTTTAAAATAATAATCGTGGCTATTGTATCGTTAAAAATTATTTCTTTATTTTTTACAAACAAAATAAATATATTGAAAAATATAAAAACAAAAAAATTTATACTTTAGAAGTTAATCTAGTATCAAAAACGTTTGATTCAGCATGACACACAGTCCTCAGAAAAACACCACACAAAAGTGCCAGTGCTGCCAGCTAAAACACACACATCAACAAAAAAAATATTGGAGTAGCCCAAGATATAGCCAAAGATTG